GTATGTATAATTGTTTTGGTTTGTTGAAAGTAGGAAATATTCATGTTTAGGATTTGATTGTTGTTCTTGTACTGCTTTTCGTTCTAAATTTTTAACTTGTTCCAGAGCACGTTGCTTGAGTTCCTCACGTGTCATCGGTTTTAATTCATCGTCTTCTTTGTCTTCTACTTCACGACGATCTTCCCTACAGAAAAAATTTAAACAAAATTAAAACTCAATGTCTCTTATTAAATAGTTCTGACGAGTGCTCACGTATTTGGTAAATGAACAGAAATTGGAGGTGGAGGACCTAAAATATCAAAACACATCGTAAATGTTAATATAATTTCATTTTAATAGAAAGATACAAGGTAAATGCCTGTTCTCGAATAGATAGTTTATACTACAAAAGAATCTCAAAGAGGATTTGATTAGAAGATAAAGCGTACCTGCAGGTCCATCCCCAATCAAGTTCGGCGCTCTTTCTCGATATGGCAAATTTTGTTCCTAAGTAATATAAAGATCAACTAATAATTAAATACAAATCACACACAAAAATCTATACCTTAGCATGAATTGTTGATTGAGCAATTAATAATTCATTTGTTCTTTCTTCAATAATGCCCAAATATTTCAGCATATTATCTTCCGTAACACCTTCGTGACTCTGTAACAAATGATCAATTTGACGTCGATCACAGCCAATTTTTTTAAACAACGAATCAATTCCTAAACATGAATATTTCCTACTTTCAACAAACCAAAACAATTATACATACATACCCGTCCGGCATTGATCAAGTATTTTTTTGGCTGCTTTTGTTTTTTCATCAGATTCATCGGCATTAGCTGTTGCTTGTTTACTTTTTTCTTCAATTTGTTCAAGCATCTTTTTACGTTGATCTTCCAAATCAACGCCTTGACTTTCAAAACGTCGAATTTCTTTTTTAATCTTTAAATAACATAATTCGAGTGAGGTTGCTCACGTTCATTCAAAGCCTGCATAAACATTACCTCCACAATTTGTTCTTGCAATGTTTCCACTTGATTATTAAGTTCATTGACATAATTGAATAAGGCAAAATTTTTATCTTCAACTGTAATATAAAGAAAACAATGAGATAACATGTATAGTAGACCTAAATTGAGAAAGCAAACCTTCAATAAATTTGTCCACCAATTTTTGTAAATCCGGTTCTCCACTTATCTCTTGTATTTGTTTAAATTTCGTTTCATAAGCTTCAACCGAATGTTCTTCTTTGTCTTTTCGTCGTTTTTCACTAGCTTCAGCTTCTACAGATAAGACACAGTAAGTTGAAATTTCAAAAAATAATAATTTGACATATCAGTGATCATACAAACCTTTTCGTTTTCTGTATGTAACTAATTCTTCATCTTCTTGTCTCTCTTGTGATTTTAATTTCATGAAATCTCTTAGTTTTCTATCATGCGAGATTTGTCTTTCTAATTCTTTCATTTCAGCATCGGCTGACACCTTGTCTGATTCTGCTTTCGCTTGTAACATTAACGCTTTAGCGTTCGCATCTTTTCTGTAATCAAACAAATTAAGAAAAGCTCAAACATCACAATTATATGAATAAGAATAATTGTGTTTTACCTTTGTTCGTAAGATGTTACCGATCTTTCAATACTTTCGACGAGTTGAGCGCGTAAATCTCGCAATTCCTTTTCAGATTTTTGTGATAGATCTTCAAAACGTTGTCGTTCCACACGTAAATTATCAATTTCACCACGTAACAAACTATTTTGTGTTAACAATGCGTTGAACCTTTTCAATGCCTAAAAGAAGTAGAAATGTACAATAAGATCGTTATATGAGAATTATTATTTTTATCTTACTGTATCCAGCCTGTTTTCTAATACACGTTCGGTTTTCTTAATAGTAGCATTGAATTCAATCGATGCGTTTGCTCCGCCTACTTCTGTTTGTTTTTGCTTAATCTTCTTTTCCCATTCACGAATTTTTGCATCTAGTTCTTGCGACGAATTTTTCTCATTTTGAATTTCACGCTGAACATCATCTAAAAAACGAAACAAATTCAAATATGATGTTTGACAAGTGCGTCATAATGAATAGTATACTTTCTATTTAATTTGATCATGTTTGAACGTCTAAACTTAACTCTTTTCTGAGAAAACTACCACATAATTCTCTACATCTTTCTGACTGTATGAGAATATTTTTTAAAGCTCACGCTATTAAAAACATCATCAACTTCTTTCCATCGTAATTTCCTTTAAAGTTTTATGCTATGTTTTTTTTTCGATGAGCGAAGTGTAGTACTTAGTAGATCTACGATTTTTTACTTAGCCTACCAGAGACAAAGCTTCCATTAAAACTTTTAGAAAATAATTCTTGAAACTAAATGAGTTTTTCAAATAA